ACACACACACACACACACACACACACACACACACACACACACACACACACACACACACACACACACACACATCTACAGAGATCTATATAGATATAATAATATCAAAATAGATCTACAATCTTGGCCAAAGGTATAAGGCAGTAAGGCACAATTGCAATTTTGTCGCATTTTACGAAAAGTTAAGTATCTTGAAGAAAAAAAACTCACAAGGGAAGTTTCACAACTGTCCGGAACCGATTTGATTCTCCATGAAATATGTTATTAAACACAAAAATCTAAGAGACGCGTATTTTTTTATGCGTTCGCTCAATGTTGTGAAAAAAAAATTTTTTTGTTAACAATTGTTAAACAAAAAAATTAAAAAAAATTTTTTTTTCTTCACAACATTGAAGTACTTTTGAAACCGTACAACTTTTGTTTAAAAAATTTTTTCCATCTTTTATACTTCCGACGGTATTCCGCTCGAAATAAAAAATACCGTTTTTTTTTTCGAATAAGTGTTTCATCCCTTAAACATGAGTTAGCGCACGTATAAAAAAATACGTGTCTCTTAGATTTTCGTGTTTAACAACATATTTCATGGAGAATCAAATCGGTTCCGGACAATTGTGAAACTTCCTTTGTGAGATTTGTTTTCGTCAAAATACTTAACTTTTCGTAAAATGCGATAAAATTGCAATTGTGCCTTACTGCCTTATACCTTATACTATCTTATACTTATGGCCTTTGGCCAAGATTGTAGATCTATTTTGATATTATTATATCTATGTAGATCTCTGTAGATATGTACGTCAATTTTTATCAAATTACACTTGTACATACATATATCTTCTTTAATGTTATTACATCTCTGTAGATTTAATCTTTATTACATATAGTTTTATTGTATAAAGTTAAATATTCATATATATCAATATATTTTCGTAGATCTACAATATGCTTTCTTTATATTCAATATAGCATTTTATTTATATCGCAGATTATCTATTTAGATCTTAATTGCTATAACATCAATCATGTGAGGCCAAGCTAGATTTCTGAAAATCTGATTATATCTAAAAACTAAATCTCATCAGATACAATTTGATCTTATTTGATCTAATTTGATCCACACATATATAATGAAATCATCTTCTTTTTTTCCCGGGATAACATAAATTATACATTATTATGAATACTAAGAAATAGACATTGAGGAAAATAATAAAAAAAAATATCGCCTAGCTGATTTTAAACACGCAAAAACGACCGGCTGTTTATTATGATATCCGTCATGAGCGTGGCCATTTCAATTTTTAAAATTTTGTAAGTTCAATCTTTTAACTCATTGGCACTTAAATGTTACGTATTATTTTTTACGATGTCAAACTCTTTATCTTAATATCAATAAATTTTCCAAATCCACGAGATACATACCTAAATCTCTCTTTGTTAGTAGATCAAGTCTTAAGAATAGGACGGTTCTATTTTAAATTAATAATCATTAAATCGTATGGTTTTTCTCAAAATATCTGATAACAAGTCATGTATGGCACAAATACCTGCTTTATCACTCTTAAATTCGCCTCCTTTAGTATTTATCACAAATCTTTATTTTTCCCGTGTCAAGTATCTCCTCCAGTCATCATGATTGAACACAAATATAACACGATGTCATCTTTTTTACTATATAAAATTAGTATTCATGACGTGTGAATTATTTTCCTTCAGAACGCGGATTTATTACATGTTCGGTTTTTCCGTTCACATATTAGTATGCCACGCTCGCACGCCGTGTTTACACGCAAAGGAAAAATTAAATCAGTTAATAGAATACCTCAAATGGAGAATAAACTTAGTCGCATTCCGATCTTTTGTCCGGAATGAGAGGGCGTTACACACCAATCAAACTTCGATATATGGCACTGCAGCAAAATCGTCGCCGTAAGAATAAACGTTGTTCTTCCAAAATAACCTCATCAAACAATTACAATTAATACTCCGCGCATATACTCAAGTATACGTGATGCGCAGGTAAAATTATTACACACCATTATACATTAACATAGGCGTGTATCCTGTCACCGGCGGTATCGTCGAATTACCGGCCGCTACAGGAAATATCAGCAGCAAAATTGTTATATTATCAATTGATAAATTATTGTTATCGTAAACCAATAACCGTGATACCTCTATGAGAGTTATTTCGTCGATTTCAGAAAGAATTATCGTCGAATTTAATATGACATACGCGTTACGATGTGTATTAGTCACCCTAGTAAGCCACCCCGTTCCACCACTCGTATCGATTTTCTCGTTGGGGACCGATGGTTCATGACGAATTTAGGAACGGAACACTTTAATTAGAATAATATGAGAGTCGGCGGTCGGGAACGAATGTCTCTCTCCTGAGCATTATCTCGCGACTAGTAGAAATGATTTGGACTGGTGTGGTTAGAGTCTGAACCATGTATAGTATATCACCCCTCCGCTGCTATGAATGTGCGCTCCACAATGAAATACATTTCCGACGCATGCGTAAGGCCGATACCAATGGTAACGAGGATGAAGTGACAAAAAGTCATGTTGTTGCTTTTTCCTCTGCAAGTTAAAATCCGCAGAGATAACTCGACGATAAATACCGACATGATTTATAATCGCAGATTGCCGATGCACCCGTTGAGAGGTACATACGTTCAACCCGTCACAAAACGGCTTTTATTGTCAGTTAAAATTGTACAATAATGTAATACTGCTAAATCTCGCTCGCGTCTACATCATATACTTGTATCGTATATTGCAGCTAATATCTTGGAAAACTACATAGATGCGAGATCATTATTTGTTATTTCACAATTAAGTAAACATGACAATGCAAAATGTGCTGTTTGTTTGGCAACATTAGTTGACGGGCGCAATGTTCAACTTCTTCGCGTCCTCCAAAAGCTTTTCTACCATGGCAAGCCACTCCTCAGGGCGGTTTTCAGTGTACCATACGACTATCTTTCCCACATTCTTCTTTTGGGCTTCTGTACATTTTCGACATTTTGTTGCAAACGCTTCAGCGGCATGCTCTGCAAAATAGAAAATCTCAGATATTTTTATTGGTATATACATACAGGGTGTTTCGAAATTCGGAAATCAAAATATCACAGCAAAAAGGTTTTCGAAACAAATTAAGTAGAAACGTTATTTGTAAACAAAAATATTTATTTATATTTATCATAAATATTACATTAAATATTTAGTCTATCTTTTAATAATATTTCGAATAAAGCTTTATGTAAAATATGTATAAAATGTTTATATAACATTTCAAGAAATGAATAATAATAAATATTTATCATAAATATTCTGTGCTCTCTGGATTTTTATTGTTATATTTTTATTCGCGAATTTCCGGACACCCTATATATTTTTTTTCTGAAAATCGTGTGAAATAATAGTAACTTCCTACTATGGCTGTGTTCTAAAATCACTGCCAGTGCTGAAAATATTATATAGTACACGTGACATAAACTGTAGATTTTCAGCGGTGGCAGAGAATTTTGGAACACACACAGCATATACAGGGTGTCCCATAACTCACATATTAATTACTAAAAATTGCCGAATATTGGTCTCCAATAATTTTTTTCTCAAATACTATCAATTTTACAAAAAAACTGCGAGAGACAAAAATTGTTTATTTTCTTCTCATAGAACTCTAAGAATTTTTTCAGAATTTTTTATCAACTTTTTAGTACTGCATTTTCTTATTTTTACCATCATGAAAATCTGGTATTAAAAAATTTTGAAAAAATTCTGAAAAAATTCTTAGAGTTCTATGAGAAGAAAATAAACAATTTTTGTTTCTTGCAGTTTTTTTGTAAAATTGATAGTATTTGAGAAAAAAATTATTGAAGATCAATATTTGGTAATTAATATCTTGTTAATTATTGCGAAAATTACAAAATAGTAGAGGACTTTTCGATTCAGTTTAGTCCGCTCTACTTGCCCACGAGCGTTGTCAGGTGAGTTATAGGACACCCTGTATAAACATTCTTTTGTCATAATATTTTGTTATAACAATTATATTATATTATCTATTCCAAATCTTTTAGTAGATGTTTTTTTATAAAAAATGTATTGAAAAATATGTGTATACGCATAAACAAAAAATTAAAATAAATGTTATTAATTGAATTAGAGATTATCCGTCTTAATCTTAATAATATTTTTGTTATATTCTTTGCACACAGTGTTAAAATATATCTAGATACATAGGTACAAGTACCTAAATCGAGATTTTTCTATGTATTAGGTAATGTATGAAATTTTTTAAAAAGTAAGTAAAGGATTAAATAAAAAAATAAATATATTTTTTGTTCACATTATATAATAATATTATTAGAATATTAATACTTTTAATACAATTTCTTTTATTACTAAATAAAAGTCGTATCTATCGTTTACAAAATTAAATTTATACGAGATAATAAAATATCATACGTTTAAAGAATTTCTGATCTTCTGTCACGCACGGACCAGTATCCATGAAGCAATTATAATACTGATTTCGAAGCTCATCGTTCGGCAAGATGTCATCGGGATTGATGTGATCGAACTCGTCTGAATAAAACTCTTCAGCAACAACGGCCGCCAAGATGGCCAGGATGGCCAATAAACAGAAATTTGATTTATTCATAATTTTCGCTGTTAGAAATTCGTGCCTCACAAAACTGAGTATTTTATTCAGCTGGATACATCTTTTATAGTTTACACTTACCCTTGACCGTTTCTTACGTAAATACTACTTTAAGTAAATAATCGTTACACGTCGAATCAATTGTAATCACATGTATTTCAGACAGATAGAATGGACAGAACGAAGGATTAATCTAGGAAGAATTAATTAATAAGTTCGCAAAACACACACGAGACACTACACGACTATTAGATTATTTCGCTCGTGTAAGATGGTCATTACAGTAGCAAAGCAAATTCGATGTTGGTTTAGCTGTCTCCTGGAAGTCAAGAATCCTCAACAAACTGCAATAAAAATTGCTAGTTTTAAGTCATGCAAATACTGTAATACAGTTTGTCTCGTGACAATGCCACTTGTAATCGTACCTTTCATTCTTGCTGGAACTAGTATTCGGAAACAACGTTGAGCATATTTTCTGTATAATTTGTCGTCTGCTAGTCATAAGTGGTTTCCTTTAACGAGTGACATAATTAGTAATCGGAAGATTATTAATTCTGGGTTAGAAGAATAAAATTCTGGGTTATGTTTTTTTTATTCGAGATATGATCTACCATATAGTAAATTGGAATAAATGCGGGATGCGTCTAACTAAAAATCTGTAATAATTTTAGAATTCTAGAGAGAATTTTTAGACATGGAAATCATTTCAATACCTCGTATCCCGGAAATGTGTTTCAAAAAATTTCTTTGGACAATATACATATATATTACGTTATATTATTATATCTTACTAAAAATATAAACTTAAGAAATATTTACGTTACATTATATTTTCTACAGCACGAAATATTACAGCAATATTTCAATAGCGCGCAATATTACAAAAATTGCAGCAATATTGCTGCAATATTGAAATTTTATTGAAAATTTTGCAACAATATTGCAAAATATTGTAATTTTAATAATATGTAGAAAATATTGCAATATATGTTGTAATATTACAATTCAGTAAATAAAAAAGTACGCAGCCCCGCCACGACAGAGTACGCTTCTCGAAAGGAGAAAACGTCCAGCCCCTGTATTCTGTAATTTGCAATCGTTATGTGCTCATAACGATAGTTGCAGATATTTTACATAGTAAAAAAGCTTATTCTTAAAAAGAATTATGTACAAAAAACTAGGAATGTACTATAGTATACATAATGTATACTATAGTACATTCCTAGTGTATGGTATTTTCCTAGAATTTTGTATATGTTTCTTTTCAAGAAGAGGCCGAGAAGTTCTATAAGGTATACGTAAATCGAGTTAGCGAATTTCCTGGAGATTCTTAACTTTTTTTGAATGCGCTTTCTAGGCCCCCGAATATTTTTTTATTATAACTTTATCGTATCTATTTTGGAATATGATGCTAAACAATAATATGTTAGCAATTAATAAAACTGGAATAATTATTGAAATATTGCTATAGTAATAATGTTATAGCAATATTTCTCTAAATATTACAATATTGCAGCAATGTTTTATGAAATATTGCAACCTTTCAAAATAATATTGCTGCAATATTTCGTGCTCTCTGTAGGGGATTATGTCTTATTAAAAATATAAAAATCATAAATTTAAGAAATACCTATATGTATTACATTATATTATTATATCTTACTAAAAATATAAATTTATACATTCCTATTTACGTGCCTTAATCTCAAAGTATGTTAACATTTTTACAAGTATATTATATAAATTAAATACAAATGTATACACCAGTATACGCAAATCTATTGTAGATTATGACATAACTATATTAATTCATAGAGCACATACCATTTGAGGGATATCACGATAATCTTCATAACGTATAAATCGATATCTACGTGATATCCTTGAACGAAATGTGTATATTGTATATGCTAATAACACCAATTATTATTGTATAATATTTGTCACATACAGGATGATCGAATACAGGATAACGAATTGTCTTTTGTTAGGGGCCATATAATAATTATTATCATCATTATCTCCAGCAGTTTTCTAAAACGACATATCTGAAACAAACCTATCTGAAACTTATTTGAAACAAACTCATCAAATTGGGAGTTAATTTCTCCAACGAAAATTTTTCTTATAATTTTTTATATAACTTGTCAGAAATTTTATATCTCAGATATAAGAGCTATATATTATCATTTGTAATAATTTTGACATCAAAATAAACATTTATGATAACATTTTAACATCAAAATGATGACAATGATAATGTCTGTTTACTACCTGGAATAAATTTCATAATTTTTCAGAATTCCTGTATTTAAAAAAAACTTTTCAGATTTTTTACAAATGGGAACATTTTTTTTAGAAATGATGAAAAAGTCTACATTTTCTGAAATTCTTTAAACACGTAAATTCTAAAATAGATTCTAGGATTTATAAAAACTGAAAAAATTTAAAGTATATATATATTTTTCAGAAATCTTTATAAATTATAAAATTTTTATAAAATTCTCTATCTTTATAAAATATAAAAAATTTCTTAAAAATATTATGAGATATTTGAATTTTTCACTTCTATTTGATTTTTACGAAGCAGTATCATCGTTGATATTTTGTCGCGTGAGCATTTCAATTTGCGTTCTGGCGAAAATTAAGTCGAGTATAAAGGAAGAGAAGTGTAAATGAAGCTTCTGAAAAGAGGAAAATTGACACAATAAAAGAAACGTAAAAGCCTCCTTTACGTTTCATTGTCCCAATTTTCGCTTATTTATAGAAGCTTTGTTACGTTTCTGTCACTTTTTCCTTACATTCGACTTTACGTTCCGATTTTCATTTTATAGTCAGAGCGATGTATGACTTCCCACACAGCATATAATATTGCAGTAATATTGCAATGAGATTACAATACTGCAATAATATTACAACTTGCAGTGCAATATTATGTAAATACTATTGAAATATTACATTCTGCAATATTACTACAATGTCATCCAAATATGCAGTGAGATATATCGTAATGCAGTGTTACCGCAATATCGTCCAAATATTGCAGTGTGATACATCGCAATGCAATATTATTGCAATATCGTCCAAATATTGCAATATGATATATTGCACTAAAATATTACTGCAATATCGTTTAAATATTGCAATATGACACATCACAAAGCAGTATTACCGTAATATCATTCAAATATTGCAATGTGATATATCGCATTGTAATAATACCGCAATATCATTCAATTGCAATAGGGTATATTGCACTGCAATATTACAACAATATCGTTCAATTATTACATTGCAATTTATCGCATTGCAATATTACTGCAACAACGTTGAAATATTACAATGCATTTTATCGCAATGCCATCTTTCTAAGATATGAATAAATACTATGTTTTAATTTATTGCTGAATAAATATTAAATATTAAATGTAAAAAAATTAGGAATATAGATTGAATATAACTCACAATGGATACAAATAAGATGTATTGTGTCTTATATCTTATTTGTATCTATGCCAGTTATATTTAATATTCATTTACAATTTTTTTATTTCTCCAATATTCAATATTTTTCTCCTGTTCTTAATTTCTTTTTTTATTATGCGCGGGGCCAAATAATACAATTGAAATATATATACAACTCGGTGTTCCAACATTAACCGTTCAAAATACAATATAATAGTAACGAAGGTTTAGAAAAAGTAAAATGTTTATTTATGAATTTTTATTTTAAACAGTAGTCTTTGAGTATTCGCGTACGCCTTCTCATAGAACTTCTGGACATTTTCTCCTTATGAGAAGCGTATCCCTTTCGTAAAGGGGCCGCATACTTATTTATTAAATTGTAATATTGCAACACACACACACACACAATATATTGCAATATTTTCAACAAAATTAAAATTACAATATTTTGCAATATAACAATATTTCTTATAAAATATTATAATTTCAATAGTGCAGCAATATCATTGCAATTTTTGTAATATTGTGCATTATTGAAATATTGCTGCTATATTTCGTACTGAAGGGATAACTACCCCGTCGACTCGGTTAGTGGTGTCTTGAGAGGCCACATAGTGTTTTGAAAAGCTCTCGAGGTAAGCTACAAGAATATGTAATGAAAAATAGTGGGTTTAATTTAAGAAATTGTAGGTGACCTTCATGTGACCTTTAAGCGACTATCCAAGGTCAAATCAATGGTACCATTTCATGGCTCCCTTGAAATCATACAACTTTTATCTGAAATATTTTCTTGTAAAATGCAAGGGAAAGGAAATATTTGGGGTGATAGATTAAAATGGATCACCTTATATATAGGTATATTCATTATTATGAATGTATGCGTGTGTGTCGCTGATCTATATTAACTATGGATAACATACAAGGACAAAAAATGAAATCATTCCCAGCAAACGCTAAATATTCTTGAAATATTTATAAAATATTCCTAAAGTCCCAAAAAAATGTGGTCCCATTGCAATATTACTATGGAATGTAGTAGAAATATCATTGAAATATTACTGAAATGTCATAGTAATATTACAATGTCCGCAAAAATGAATCACAGGAATATTACTGAGATATATCACAGAAATATCATTGTAATAATATGTAATATTTCCGTGATTTTTACGTACAATGTTTATATTTATCTAATATTTATTGGGAAAAATTAAAACATTTCAAAGTATTTTTAAAAGAATTTATTGAATTGATATTTTTATAATATTATTTAAAAAATTATTCCATATGATATTAATTAGAAAATAATACTGATCCGTCAATACAAAATGACTATTATACAATATTATAATAAATTGAAAAAGTTATAATAACTACATATCACTTATAAAATTATGTGTATGTACGTATAATTTTGTGATATTTTAATGACGTCTTTAAAACCGATTTTACAATTGCGTAAGCTGAGTGATTGTAGTTGTAAGAATTAACCAATCACAGTCAAATATAAGAAAAACATTCGATGTAATTAGTCAATTCTTACAATTACAACTACTTA